TCCGCTAGGCTGCAGCATCAGGACCAGGTTTTCTAATCTCCCATCTACACCGGCCTTTTAAAATGAGCTTGTGTGGGCAATACTCAAGCTCCCTTCTGGCTCAGGTTACAATGTGGTCGTAATCCAGTCTGGCCCCATGCACAGTGGGGTGGAAAAACCGACGTAGTTGGGACCAGTATAGCTTCTTCGATTGAGCTGAGCCTCCTCCTAGGTGGGGCCTTTGTCCTACTATAGCGCTTGGCCTTTTGGTACCTTTATTAAAGGGACTGGCTACCCAGCAATAACCTTGTGGTTAGCTGCTAAAATAACATCGATCAACTGTCATGCTTCAGGACTGGAGCTATGATTGCTGCATGGGCCAGGAAGGAAATTCTCTGTCACATTACATGCAGGTGCTTGATGCATGTCCTTTCTCTGATCCCCCAGCTATCAGCCATCATGGGAGGCCCAGGGGCTGATTCGCTCTTTGCCTTGCACCTTGTGCAGCCACTGATCAGTGCAAATCACCACTTTTCTCACTAGGGAGTGGTGCGCACCCGCTGTGCCAGGGACTGAATGGGTGTGCAGTGCCGGCACGTCAGAGCAGTGGCGCTATGCGTTCACTTTACCCAGCTGTACATGACGCTGCAAGGCCCGAGGCACTGAAGAATTGGGCCCAGAGGATAATACCAAGACCTAGCGCCTACAAAGCAGCTGCGCGGGCTTAACGGCAGGTGGTTCTTAAAGTGCTGCAAACCCTTGTGTGGCTGCTGCTAGGTCAGTTTCCGTTAACCCGGTGCTCAAGCATCTTAAGCTAAACCCAAATAAGCCTAGTTTAAAGTGAACTGTGGCCACGCAGCCTTGTGCACGAGATGAAAATCACTCTCAAACTGATGCCACCCTCCACCTGGGCCAGCGGCCCTGATTCTCCAGGGCAAATCCTTCGCTTGTCAGAAATGATGACTCCTTTGTTTAATTAAGTTTTGTTAATGGAAGAAACATTATGCCCTTTCTTTCTGCCAGAGAAGTAGAGGAATGATAGCTGGGCTAGGGAGCCTGAGCTAGGTTCGATTCCTGCCTCTGCCACAGATTCCCTGTGTGACCATGGGCAAGTCACTTAGGGAGCATCTACATTCCCTGCAGCGGTGTGACTGCAGCATGTATAGACAGGCCCAAGCCTGCTAACTGGAGCACCGATAGCAGTGAAGGCTAGAACACAGGCAGGGGGCTGAGTGGGTTTGTACAGCCCCTGGTGCTGCAACTTTATTGCTATTGTTATTCAAGCGAGTGAGATCACAGCTAGGTTGGATATGTCTACTCGTGCTGCACTCACTCCTCTGATCACAGGCTAGACAGACTCTTTGTCTCTCCATGCCTCAGTTTCCCTGCCTGTAACTTGCCGCACAGTAGGGCTGTGAGCATTAGACATTGTGATGTGCTCAGATAGCCCAGCAGGGGAGCTGAGAGAGAGACAAAAACTCTTGCTTTCAGCTATGCGAGAGGAGGGGAAACTGAGATCTGGTGTAAAATTATAAATAAAGAAAAATATACGACTCTTAAATATCTCCTAAAATGTAAAAAAATACAACTCTCGCTTAAAATGATACAGCAGTACGTTTCCCCCCTTGGTGTACGCCACACTGCTCTACGCATCAGAATAGAATTGGCGACCTTGCTCTATTGTCTAATGTGGACCTAGGTGACCTTAAACTGACCCCCCCCCCCAAATGCAGTTTGTTTCTCTGTTTAGCTCTGCAGCGAAGGCAAGATATTTAATTCCCTGTTTTGGAGCTCGGCTGGCACCCATTACACCAAAGACCCCCCAGCAAAACCAACACAGGTGCTTGTCAATTTCATCCCTTGTTGAAAATAACGTTTTTGGCTCGGTGTGTGTCCAGCTGCTATGATTAGGTTAATGGGCACCGGGGACCACACGCCTGTTCAGATCTTCAGATGATGACACAAAGAGACACATCTAGCTATTAAAGCATGGAACCTGCATGGGCCCATTGAGCGATTAACCTACAATGTGACAATTAGGGGGCTTTGTTATGTAAATGGGTAATAAAATACAACCAGAGAACCATGACTCCCCCCTCCCCTTTCCTCCAATCAAAGTTGCCCTGAAGTCCAGATTCTGCTCTGTTAGACTGGTATGACATGGATTTACTCCAGATTCACCCCCAGGATAACAGAGAGCAGCATAAAGACGTAGCCCAGTGCATTATTATTATGTTTTTAAATTAAGAATTGCTCTGTCACCCTGCAAGGTAGAGATCTGGTTTTAAAAACCTTATTTCCTTCCGCACCATCATTGGGGTCCTGCTGCTTGTTAGAATTAAGTGGCGGGGCAGTGGGGGGGTTAGATTAATTGAAGATCTGGGTTGGAACTCACTCACCATCCGGATTTTAGGCCATCACTCCAGCACGCGCTTAAATCCCGTTGACCTCAGTGGGTGAATGTGCATAAACACTCTCCTGCCATCCAGCAAGGCAAAGCGCTTGTGTCTCTTCCAGCGCAAGGTCAGAACAGAATGAAGTCCCTCCATCCCCTTGCTGACAGCAGAAAGGACACAGCCGGGATCCTTCTCTCATGGTTTCCAAGCCACGAGATGGGGAAGATGCTGAGACATCTGCCTAACATTAGCTGGGGTTTTAAAGAACATTTAAATTCTAAGCTACGACCAGCGCGTCCGCTTGCTCTGAGAAAGGAGAGCCCCCAAGACAGCTTCTTAGCCTCTTGGTTCCTGGACAGTGCTGGCTTTATAGCGCAGAGAATTGAAGGGCCAGCATGTGACACCCAGCTTGGCATGAAAAAAGTGCATTGGTCCTAAGGAGAGAAGGAAAGCCAGGGTGTGCTTCCACGCTGTGCCCGAAGATGGCGCTAGATGGCTGCTACAACAAGGTTGCTGTTCTCCATCCAACATCCACTGCTGCCTATCAGGGTGGGCCCTTTGCAACCCACAATAGGGTGTCTGTAAAATAGCCCCCTGCTGTCCCTAAGGACCTCTGACCTCACTGCTCCGTCAGCCGAGCCATACATTTGCCCAGCTCGTCCTGGAGACACGCGGTGAGCAAAATCTTGGCGTAAGATGCCTCGACGCCCCTGGCAGCACGCAGCGCTGCCCAGCCCTGCCTTACGTCAGTTAAATCTGCAGGAGGAAAGAGACAGCAAGAAAAGCCAGCCGGAGCTCGGGGCTCGGGTTTGTCCCGTCTCTAATGAGCAAGGCGCGGGGCTTTGGGTGTTGCAAAAATAGAGCCCATTTGTGTGGCGCGATTGGGCCTTACATGCTAAGTTCTGATCTGCCCTCAACCCCTGGGGAGTTCCCTCCGGCAAGCGTCCCAGGCAATAGATTTTTCAAGGATCATACTTCCCCTTTGAGGGCGACATAGCTGGGTTGATCTAAGTGTAGATCAGACCTTAGAGTCAACCAAGGAGCTGGGGGAGGGCAGAGAGACAGAGGGCTACAGCGTTAAATACACGAAACGCCTAATTGGAATGACCAGCAACCCACAGACAAGACAGAGGTTAGCGTCACTCTCAGGCCAGCTGGGCTGCTGGCCTGGCGCAATGGAGCCCTGATCTCCGTTTGGAGGTGCTACTATCACACCCTGCCCCCCACCCACCCCAGGCTGTGTTTCTGGATGGCCTCTGTGGGGAGGGACTTGGGGAGAATTAAAAAAAAAAACACACAAACAACCACCCAAAGCACAATCCCTAAGCTTCAAAGCCAAATGTTCTCCCCCCAAACAGAAGAAACAATGTTTAAAATCCCTGAATAAACAATAATACAAGAAACCGAGCATCGCTGTATTGTTCAGCTGAAATGGATAATTGGAAGAGGGGACTGTCCCTGGATTAGTGCGTGAAATTCGGTCCAGTTACAGAGGGATAGCTGAGCTGATGTTGGTCCAAAGGAGAGAAAAGAATGCTACTTTGCCCTCACATACAGCACCTTTCCTCTAAAGCACTCAACAGAAGGATGCAAGTATCATGATCCCTGTCTTACAGATGGGGAAACTGAGGCGCTCGGCACATTAGGACCAGCCACCCACCGGAGCCAAGGATGGAACCGCTGCTCTGATACAGCCTCTGCCCTGCCAATGAGATCCTAGACCTGCTGCCTGCAAAATGTATGAATGTCCGATACCACTAGAGTCTACAGGGGTGGATGCCAGCGGCGTCTGGTGCGGATTGACCAGCGATTTGTGACACCAGCGAGACACGATGCAAGGACGCGTGCAGATCAGGATTTCAAATTCGGTTCACGTGACACAGAGGAACAACTTAGCTCTGCCGGTTTGCTCCTGCAAACCTGGCTTAGGAGCCTGAAACGGATGCTTTGTTAACACCTGAAATCGACGCCACTTTACATATGACTCAAAGGGCCCCGAAAAAGCAGTGGGGGGGGGGGGGGGGGGGTTGCGTTGCTCTCCACACACCACAGGTGGCTGATGAAAAAAATAAACGAGGATTTGGAGAATATTACACAGCCAAGATCCGTGAGCACACGTTGCACGTACTACTAGTTTACACCCACGTGTGTGAAATTAAATGGATCACGTGTTCACCAGCGCACACCCAAGGGCGAGCTCCAACAAGGGATTTTGGGTTACTGCTGCGTGGCAGGGCGCCTAGACATTAGATGGCCCCTTTGAGGAGCTGGCCCTAGCCCCTAGCTCTGATCAGGAGCTAGGTCAATTGGCGCCTGCCCAGTTAATCCGTTCACACTGCCGGGGCTGGGCCGTTTCCAGCCTGAATTTAGTGCAAAGAGGTTCTTTCCTCCTTCTCCTTCTCAGTCAAGTTTTCTTCCCCCCCTCCCCAACTCCCACAATGAATGAGCCGATTCTCACACACGTAATGACACCGAAAAAAGGGGGGAGGACGGGAAGGAAGGAGCGGTTGGGGGAAGGGGAGCGAAAAAATAAAATCATCGAAATCAGAAAATAAGACATTTCACAGTGTCTAACAACTTGAATTTCCTGGGGGGGAGGAAATCTGGGGGGGGGGCACGCCCCACTCACTGCAACACCTGCCCACGCGTCTCCGGCAGCCTCAACGCTAGCGAGCTGCCCACAGCCAGCGCTGTCGAGGCCAGCAAGATGGGCACGGCTTTCGTGACGCCGACGAAGGAGGTGAAGATGCTGATGCCCAGGACGGCCGCCAGCTTGCAGAGGGCGTTGAGGAAGCCGAAGGCTGTCGTCCTAGAGAAGCGGGGAGAGAGGACGAGGTTACAGGCGAGCTAAAGGGGTTGGGGGAGGGCAGTAGGCTGGTGGGCAGGGGGATGGGGTTAATGTCCCGTTTCTCCCTAAAAGATGGAAAACAAGCAGGGTCATAGCAGCAGCGGCCCAGAGTAATCTGACCGCGTTTCAGCCTCGTGGCCTGGGAATCTGGACACCTGCGTTCTATTCCTGGCTCTGCCACTGATCTACTGCATGACCTCGGCCAAGTCCCTTCCCCTCGCCCCCTTTCTCCATTTCAACTGTGAGTGCTTTTTGGCAGGGCCTGCCTCTCTCTCGGTATATGTACAGCACCCGGCACAATGGGGCCCTGAGCTCAGCTGGGGCGCAGATGCTACCCATAACACCCAGTGATGGAGAGGGGAAAGGATTTTTATTGTAGACACACACACACACACACTTTTTAAAGCTCTGCTGTTCGCATGAATTTTTCTATCAGGAAATCAGTCACCCCAGTGTATTTAACACCGACTACGGCAAAGCTACCGTAAAACTCTTCAACGACAGGCCCTGCGTTCTAACTTTAGCTGCAAACTCTCCAGCCTGCCTCTAGTCAGCACAAGGGCCCAGCTTCCATCCCCCTGCCCCACCCGCTTAGAGAAGGGGGATCCTCCTTCCAGGAGCCCCCAAGCCCCCTGCTAAAGCAAAGGCTGGGCCATTTAATGCCTTAATGCCTGGAGCAGCTCCCCAGTCCCTGTACACAGGCCACCTGCTCTCCTCTCCCTTCCCACTGTCTATTTCCAGCCTGCGGCAAGCTGCAGTCAAAGATCCCCTTTTCCTAGGGGGTCTGCACAAGCGTCAGGCACAAGGGGAGCCCAGACCATCACCTGGTGCCCATGCAGCAATGCCCCTCGCTCTCAGTGACGGGCCCTCCAGGCAGCCAAGGCCCAAGCTGGCAGCTCTGTGCATCAGTTGGGCCTGCGTGATTTCTCCCCTGCAATCAGGGGTGTCTGCAGGGGTTAGCTGCCGTGACTCAGTCCCAGGTGAAAGGGATGTGATCCATGGCTTAGCCTGGAGGTGGCGCCCTTGAGCCGCTCTGCATTACCAATGCCTTGTCCTCCGCATGTTCAGCCTCAAACCTGCAGCCTCGCCCGCCCCCACCATGCAAATGTTGATGTGCTCCCAGAATCCTTTGTGGGCCTTCCCCAAGCACAAAGGTTTATGGGGAACCCCTGGCATCTCAGGAGGGGGGCGGGACAAATTGGCAGCCCAGGGAGAGGGGTTGGGAGCCGATTGCAAATGCAGGGGATGCCAGCCGGCAGGCTCAGCGTGCCAGCGTAGGCCTGGTCCGGCTAAACTATGATTGCTGGCTCTTGGGAATGTGGCATAAGATCTCCTCACTGGTCCCACTCTCCGAGTCAAATTCACCCATGCCGGGGCCCACTCTACAGTCAGTGCCCAATTCACAGATGAGAAAACGGGGGTACAGCAAGAGGAAGTCACAGGTCTGTGCAGCCAGGCAGCAGCAGAGGTGGGAAGAGGACCCCCAGGAGTCCTGTGCCCCAGTGCTCTACTCTGCCCAGTAGACACCGCTCCCCACCCAGAGCTGGGACTAGAACTGGCTGAAAAAGAGGGGGGGGGGGCGCTTCCTTTCTGTGAAAATTTGTCCAGTTTTAAGAACGTAAGAACGGCCATACTGGGGCAGACCAAGGGTCCATCTAGCCCAGTATCCTGTCTTCCGACAGTGGCCAATGCCAGGTGCCCCAGAGGGAATGAATAGAACAGGTGATCAGGGGCGGCTCTATGTTTTTTGCCGCCCCAAGCACGGCAGGCAGGCGGCTTTCGGCGGCGCGCCTGCAGGCGGTCCGCTGGTCATGGGGATTCGGCGGCATGCCTGTGGGAGGTCCGCCGGTGCTGCGCCATTGGCATCCCAGCTGCCGAATTGCCGCCGAAGCCGCAGGACCGGCGGACCTCCCGCAGGCATGCCGCCGAAAGCTGCCTGCCTGCCGCCCTCACAGCGACCGGCAGGCCGCCTCCCGCGGCTTCCTGCCCCAGGCACGCACTTGCTACTCTGGTGCCTGGAGCCGCCCCTGCAGGTGATCATCAAGTGAGCCATCCCCTGTTGCCCATTCCCAGCTTCTGGCAAACAGAGGCTAGGGACACCATCCCTGCCCATCCTGGCTAATAGCCATTGATGGACCTATCCTCCGTGAATTTATCTAGTTCTTTTTTGAACCCTGTTACAATCTTGGCCTTCACAACATCCTCTGGCAAGGAGTTCCACAGGTTGACTGTGCGTTGTGTGAAGAAATACTTCCTTTCGTTTGTTTTAAACCTGCTGCCTATTCATTTCATTTGGTGACCCCTAGTTCTTGTGTTATGAGGAGGAGTAAATAACACTTCCTGATTTACTTTCTCCACACCAGTCATGAATTTATAGACCTCTATCATATCCCGCCTTAGTCGTCTCTTTTCCAAGCTGAAAAGTCCGAATCTTATTAATCAAATGTGCCCTCCCAAAGCAGGCTGAAATGTCAAAACTGTGGAAATTTTCATGGAAACGAGATTAAGGAAAAATTCCATTTGGGAAGAACTGAAATGAAACTTTTTGGCTTTCCAGCTGCCCTCAGGGAAGGCTCTAGTTAATTTCTTGTGAAATTGACAAGTACTTTCCTTCCCAGTGCTGGAGAGGCAGAGAGCCCTACCACATTGCCTCCCTGTGAACCGCCCCAGCTCTGGGCGCCCGAGAGTGTGACCAGACAGCAAGTGTAAAAAATCAGGACAGGGGGTGGGGGGGTAATAGGCGCCTATAGAAGACGAAGTCCCAAATATCAGGACAGTCCCTATAAAATCGGGACATCTGGTCACCCTAGCACCGGGGAGGTGCTGCTCGTCCCACCGAGCCAGGGCAGGGGGAGGCAGGGGCACCCTGGTCTTTGCCTCTCCATCCCCTGGAGCTGGCGTTCAACAAAGGTTTGGTCAAATCTCTGCCTGATTTGGCTCAAGATTTCACTCTGCCAAACTGGCATTTTCCAGCAAAATTAAGTTTAGTTGGAAAGTTTCTGACTGTCTCCTTGCTTCTGCTCTAACCACTAGACTCTCCTCCTGGGGCTGGGAATAGGACCCAGGAGTCTTGACTCCCAGTCATTCTGCTCTAGCCATTGGGCCACCTTCCCTCCCCCCAACATGCAGCGTCCTTCAGGCCCTGACAGGTATTTATCGTAACTGCATCGTGTTCCCAAAGCTACCAGTCGAGGTGGTAACCCAGGATTCCTCCTTCTCAGCCACCCCGAGGTGGCTTCACGGGACCAGCCCACGTCTGGACTGGGCATCCCGGGATCAGGACTTGCGCTGCCTTGGGTGGATAATGGAGGCGTGGACTTGTACCTTTTGTCCGAGGGGTAAAGCTCCACCGTCAGCACGTCCAAGGCGTTCCAGGAGGCGATGCTGACCCCCCCGAAAAGGCAGAGCAGGGCGATCATGGCTGACTCGCTGTTCCCGAACGACAGGAAGAAGCAGCTGACGCACGACATCACGCTGGAGCCGGCTGCAGCAGGACGAGGAGAGGCGTGTTAGGCTGGGGAGGAGGGTGTATCCGCAGGTACAGGCCTGGCTGGAATCGTACCTGGTCAAAGCCAGCATCACCCGCCTGGTGCAAGAACCTTCTCCTATGCATCAGCCTCCATCACTCCTGCAAGGCCTCCTGACCGTCCCCTCCACACAACCCAGTGCAAGATCCTTCTCTTCTGCAGCCTCCCTGCCCTGCCCACCATCTCTCACCAGCTTCCTCCTTGCTCCTTCGTTCTGCCGGTGCGAGAGCCACAGACTCTGCAATTCTGCCAGGCCCTCCAGCTACAAGCGGCAGCTGAAGCAGCTGGCCCGAATCCTAGCCGTGCCCCTGCTCTGCAAGGAGAAGTTTCCCCTCAGTGCAGGTCAAGGAGGAGAAGGTTCACTGGGAACAGCTGATGCCTATGGTACAGGTGGATCTAGCTCAGGCATCAGCCAAGGAATAGAGCCAGTGGGGAATTTTTCAATCAACATTTTTTTTTTTTGGGTAGGAAAATGGACTCATTGAACCTGTTCGTGGGAAAGGGTCAAATCTGATGCATTTCCCCTTTCGAACCATTTGAGGAGTTCTGTCTTTCAGCTTAAAATGACTTTTCATTTTGAAACGTTGTTCGAGTCTGATAAACCCCCGTCTTTTCGAAAGAGAAGAGGTGGACCTAAAAACCAAACCGTTTGAAACGATCGAAACGGAACGGGTCACCAGCCGGGTTCGGAAAGAAAACATTCCGGTTTTCAGTTCGGGACCATGTTTAAGATTTTCAAATTTTTGTCCCGAATCTGGATGGGGGGAAACTTTGAAATCTCAAAAATTCTCACGGGCTGGGGAAACCTTTCCTTCCCAGCTCTACCAAGGAGGCATGCAGCCAGACTGGGGATTTCTGTTAAAGGGTGAGACCCTCTCTGGCCAGGAGGGGGCAGCCGCAACTTCAAGCCACAGGGAAGCTGGATTAAAGGGGCAGGGGTCAATTTTTGCTCCTGTAGCCAGGGTCTATAGGGAGATCAGTGCAGAAGGAACAGGCTATCCCTATCCCCATGCTGCCACCACCACTTCCCCTGCCAGTCCCCAGGCAGCATCCCCGCCCCTCACCCAGCATCCGGAGGCGCCCGATCTTGTCCATGAGCAGGGCCGAGACAATGTTCCCCGGCAGCACGGCCAGGGTGCCCAGGAAGCTGACGAAGTAGATCATGTAGGCGTTGTTCTCATCGCTGAAGTCCAGCTGGCAGCCCTCTTTGTTGTGCAGGAAACTGCTGTTGGCCATTTTGGAGTTGATGAATTTGTACTCGAACAGGTCTGTGGAGAGGGAGAAGACGACACGGGGCGTGGCCTTGCGCTGAGCTGCAGAGCGATGAGCAGGCCGTTTGCCCCTCCCACCAAGCAATGGGGGGTGGGGGTGGGGCAGATGGGCTGTGATGCAGCCACCTCTGGGGTGGAGCGCAGCAGCTGCTTGCGCACCCAGCACCGAAAAGCAAACCACTTCTCATGCGCAACATGGCTGCTGTTTAGCGGCCGCGCAGCAACGCTGCGCAGCTGTCACCCACCCACCACTGAAATGCAGCCACCTCTGAGGTGGAACACAGCTGCTGTTCAACAGCATGCAGCCGTGCTGGAAGTGGAGATAGAAATGCAGGGGACTTGTAAGCCACCGGGGTGTAATTAGCCAAGTAACCAAGACTAACACTTTTCTGTTTTGCAGACTGGCCCAGAGAATCAACATGAACAGCCGGGCGCCTGGGTTTTAATGGCTAGGTCCCAGCCCACCAGAGGGCAGAATGAGTCAGTGCAGCATTGCAATACAGGGAGGGTGGGACACAGAGGTCCCGAGTGGTCATTTGTTCTCGCACACAGGGCCAGCCTTGGAGCGGCATCTGTCCCAGGTGAAGATGGCTTTTGGGGGGGGGGGAAGAGAGGGGTAAATTTGCTCCCCCTTCCACAGCGTTTGTTGATGCCTTTCAGAAAATATGTGGGTTAGCAGCTCCAGCGGCCTGATCTCTCCTTGTCTAGGGCTCCCCTCCCAAAGCCCATCAGAGTCTATTCAGTGCCGAGTCACCGCGAGGCAGCTGATTAGCACGGCCCGGAGAATATTTAGCAGCAGCCTCACAGCAAGTGCAGCAATTTCAAGCCCCACAGAGGGCCGGGTGGGGAATTAAGGCCCTAAAACAAAACAGCCCTGGCCCCATCCTCCTCCACTCTGCACCTTGCCCAGCCATTTCCACTGGTGCAAAGTGGTTCCCGGATGCTGCCTGGTAGCTTTTTACACCCCCTTTTGCATCGGTGTGTGGAAACGGCTGCAGATGGGGGCAGGGCAGTGGAGAATCAGGCCCCCTGTTTGTTCCCCCGTCATGCTGGTTGAGACGCTGCCCTCCACTGACACACACACACACCCCAAAACATCACGTTCATGTCGCTTGCCCTCCCCTTCCAGGGACCCCAAAAGCAGCATCTGCGCTAGTTAGGCTAGCGAACACAAGGGCTATTAATCCTCATGCTCCATGGCACAAGCTGACCACCAGCTGGCCGGTCAGGAAGGAACCTCCCCTATGAGGTATACTATTAGCCAGCAAGGTCCAGTGTTGGAGATTTCAGCCTGTCTCTAAGGGCATATCTACACTGCAAAATACGGTGTGTTCTTAACATGGGTTAACTAACCCACATTAGCTAACTCGGGTTCAAATAGAAGTGAAGACACAGCAACTTGGCTTTTAACAGGGCTTAGTATCTCAAGTTCAGTCCCTGGCTGCCCTATAAACTTGAATTTGAGCAGCTGACCCAAACTGCCAGGTCTGTACTGCTATGTTAACCTGAGTCAGCGAACCCAAGTTGAGAACACACCTTTGCAGTAAAGACATAAGCTAAAAGCCAGAGTCAGTGTGGCCCAGTGGATCTGGTACTGTCTCAGGGGTCTCAACCTATTTATCATTGTGGGCCGTATCCAATATTCTGGCCCTCAGGATGTCACATGGGCTGCAGCTCTGTGCTGATTGGGCCAGGTTGAGACCCACCGGTCTAGATGGCCCATTGACTTGTTACAGGACAGCAGGAAGTTACCTGTGTTGTAGAAGACAGTGGAGAAGAAGGAGCAGTTCTTGAAGAAGGTGTTGCTGGAGGTGATGTCTTCGAAGTAGCAGTCCTCAAACAGGGAGTCCTCAAAGGAGACGGATTTCAACTTGAGGCCGATGAACCTGCCAGGCACGAACCCGGGGACTGAGCGACCCAAGAGCGACTGGGATAGGGGGCGTGGGAAGTGTGGGTCTCCCTCCATCACGGGGGAACAAAAATGGTTTCTGGACCTTGCTAAGCCAGACACTGGATGTTCGGAGACCCCTTCTGTGCAATGAGTTTGGTGGGTCTCACTTCAGTATCCACGATTGGGAGTTAATTAAGTATCTGCAATTGGCACAGCAGATAACTCAAGGCTTGCATGGACTATGGGGGTCCATAAAGGCAGGGGTCCGTGTGTGGCGGGGTGAGGGGCAAGCTTGCCCTGTTGATGCCCGTGCTCTGGTTACACAAAGGATCCCAACCTCCCCAGCTGCACTCCTGGGGAGGTTCTGGCTGCATTTCCTCCAGCGCCTAGTTATTCATCCAGCCCTCCTCCTCTCGAGCCCAGAGACCTCCTCCCGGCACTGCCCAGACTAGCGATCCCGCAGCGCAGGCACATGCAGCCCATTCTCTGCAACCACGGAGCCATGTTAGACCCCACCAACCTCCCAGTGTCTTCGCAGGCTCTGCCCAGTACAGGACACCCGGTTGTTTTCCCGTGAGCACGGCCCCCCCAGCACCTCGACCCATCTCCCAAGGGTCAAAGAGGGCTCTTGCTAATTGCCCTGGGGGTGAGGAGGGACGACCCACCACTCACTTGTCGTTGTAGTATTCACCGTTGCGGTGGATCTGGTTCTCCAGGGTGAAGTTGAAGGTGAAGTGCTCCACCTTCTCGCGGGTGAAGAGCTTGGTGCGGGAGGCATATTCGATGTTCTGTAAATGCTTGATCATGTCTGGGAACCAGACGGTCAAGCCGTAGTAACTATCAGAGAGAGAGAGAGATCAGTACTTATTGTCTGTCGTGCCTAGGAGCCTGAGTCATGAACTAGGACCCCGTTGTGCTAGGCGCTGTACATTGTTATTGCTATTAGGTGCATTACGGTAGCTCTAGCACCCTAAGTCATGGGGCAGGAGCCCAGTGTGCTAGGCACTGTACAAAGAAGGAACAAAACTCAGGCTCTGCCCCAAGGAGCTCACAGTTAGCGCTGGGTGGGAAATGGTTTCCCGGGAGATTCCTGGAAAATGTTCCCGTCTCGACTCAGGATGCAAAGATGAAATCTCAAAACTTTTTCACAAACTGAAAAAAACCCTGCAGTTCAGGTCAATCAAACGGCTTCATTTTGATCCTTTTTGAAATGCTTCATTTCCATTTTGACCTGTTTGTTTTTCTTTTTTTGAAACATTTTAAAAAGTATAAATTAAGTTAAATTTTCAAACAAAAAGTTGTTTCCGACTGGAAAATAAACGTTTGGTTTCAAAAAGCTCGAAACATCCCGTTTTGATCCTTCTGACTTCTTTTTCCAGCTGGGCAATTCATCAGCCTGCCCCTTTCCTGCAGAACAATTCGGTTTCCATGAATCTGCAATTTTGTTTGGCATAAAAACATTTCTCAGAAAAACCCCCAACCAGCTTGACTTACAATCTAAGTATCAGACAAGGGTCCCAGGTCTCTCAGTCCCAGTCCGGGCTCTGACTCCAATGTGTGTTGGATCTGGGGCTTAAATCTCAACTAATAACAGGGCATCCTTTCCCAGTACGCTGCCCTGACAGCATCCCTTCTCCATGGACCATCTTGTCTTTGGCCTCTGTGCTGAGGCTGCCAACAAGGGGCTGGCTGAGATTGGGGATCTCCACCCCTAAATCTGGGCTCAGACCCACCAAGCCTTTCCCCCAAACACTTGTTGCTCTCTGCCATCCAATGGTGGATTTGAACCAGCCACCTGAAGACCCCAGAGTTGCCCCATAGAATGGGGTGCACCTGGCTCCCCCTGCACTGGGGGATGGCCAGTGCTGGGAGGAGGTCTCTGGGCTCGGTGGGTTGTGGTGGTGGTGGTGGGGGGGGATGCTCATCAAGAGGGCAGCTCTGTAGATTGGGATCTTGTGTGTATCCAGAGCATGGGCACCAGCTGGGCATGCTTGGCCCACGCCCGCTCCACACACCGACCCCTGAACCATTCAGATGAGCCCCTAGCCGATTGGAATGGTGGTTTAAAGACAGCAGGAAAATGTACTGACCCCTGCATAGCTGGGGGCCCGTGGGGTGTTCAGAGAAAAAGGGGAGAAAGAAATGGCCTTTCCTGCAGCGATTCTCATGGCAGATTCTCTGCACTGAGCTCCATGCTTCAGCACCAAGGACAGCTACTAGAGTCCAAAGTCTTCCTGAAGTCCTTCCCAGGGTGCGGTCAATAACACTGCCGGGGATAGAACCCAGGAGTCCTGACTCCAAGCCCTACACTATAGTCACGGGAGCAGATTCCCTCCCAGACACAGAACCCAGGAGTCCTGATCCATCCCCAGGCTCCAATCCAGTCACTGGATCACGCTCCCGCCCTCTGCCGAGATATGGGGAGTGAATAGGCTTTCTTCTTAATGTTCAAAAAGAGGATAGATAGATAGATAGATAGATAGATAGATAGATAGATAGATAGGG